ACTGTATAGTGCAGTGTTGGTGTGGTGTTGTGGATTTTTGGTTCAATGTGTGGAGTGTGAAGGATGTTTTTGTGTTTATTTTCATGGTCATGATGTGTACTGAAGGTGGTGTTTGATTTCATTGTACGAGGTGCAATGACAATAAAGTAAACTAAATTATAACTAAAAATTCTGCAATTGAGTTTGGTGCGGTTTACCTTGAGTTTGTATTTATTGTGTGCTCTTATATTGTTGTGGTTGAAGCTGAACTAGTCATTGATGGGTAGGATATTGCAATAGATAATTTTATGTACCACGCTTAGGTCGGACCGAAGGCGACCTAAGTTTTCACTGATTCCGTTGTTCCTTCTGTGCCATCAATCACAGGAATAGTTTTTACAGTGTGGAGCGAACAAAATAAGGAGAAATTTTCTGACAGCGAGAACAATCAACCAATGGAACAGCTTACCTTTGGAAGTTGTGGGAGATTGGACTGCCATTTGTCAGAAATGGTGTAATGGTCCTGCTTGGGCTGGGGTTGGACTAGATGACCTACAAAGTCCCTTCCACCTCTGTTAATCTGTAAACAGCCCTACTTGACCTGTCCTAAACTCATCATTCACATGATGGTAACTACCCGAAGCTACCGTTGCAACTTAGGAAAGTTTGAAGAGTGATGCTTCACCATAGTTAGCTTCACAAAATTAGCCAGGTGCTGCATCATAAAAGTTGATAAAGTCTTGTTTGTATGTGCAGCTTTAAATGATTTCCAGCTTCATCCCACTAATAGAAGAATGAAATAAGAGACAAAACCGTGGTTTTCCAGGCAGCTTGTGAAAAACATTTGGAGGGCACTAGTTTGTAGAAAGCTGATCTAAAGAGTCCTGGGCTTTAGTCATTGGCTCTCAATTCCTCTCCCAGGCCCAGAAAGGAGCAGGCCTGGAGACCACCCATTTGCCTGGAACTCTCATTTGCTGGCCTGGGACTCCTACTACTTCCCTATCAACATCACATGAGGTCCTCACTTAATGACCCATGGGGTCCTGGAATTGCAATGGCAACTGGAACTGCCAGGATTGCCCTCACTAAGCAGTGTGGTCACGTTATCTTATTTTTTTTTTTAATAATCTCATTGCACAGCAATGGAAATTCTGGCCCCAATTGCTGTCACAACATGGGAAATACTATCCCACCCCCTCCCCCAAAGTAATTTATCCCCTTCTGGACAGTTAGCATCCTGACTGGCTTTATACCTCCAACAGCATTTGTTATGCAGAATAAAATCACGAGAGGGTTTCCTGGCAGAGCAGTTCAAGGCATTGCTGCAGATTAAGATCTTTTTGTAAGTGCAGCTGAAGGGGGCCATGAAAGGTTGGCAGCCTGGGACTTCAACTCACCCTCTGCTTGCAGCTCTGACTTTGCCACCCGGAGAAAGGGCTGTGCAGGAGGAAAGACACCTGGGCCCTTCTCAGTCTGGCTTCAGGCCAGGGCACATCACCAAAATGGCACTGGTTACAATTCTCATAGACTTTTGGAAGGTTTAAGATAGGACCATTTATGTCCTTCCTAGACCTCTGATCAGGATATCCTTCTGGATCGTCTTCGGGAGGCACTTTATTACGGTGATTCTATTTCTATTTTCAATCGGTGTGGGTAGAAGAGAGGCTGAGTCTTGGCCTCTGAAACCTGGGATGCCCAGGGGTTCAAGCCTTTCCCTGCTGCTTTTTAACATCTGATGGGAGCTCAATGACCAGTCATTTTGCAGGGTGCCAAGATGTCTGACTGCCTGGGCAGCATTTATTGCCTTTATACAGTTTTTACAAGCAGAAAATGGTAATATAGAAACAGTATCTGGATTGGTGAATTCCCCCACCAATCCTTAAGAATATACAAGTAAGGAAGTGGTGATGTTAGCAGGTGAGATCATGTACAAACCAGTGACAGCTCTGCTAAGCGAAATCATATGTAGGTATTTGAGGCCCATATAGGTGTTGAGGCACAGCAGTGTGCTGCTTGCACTCCCTACAGGACCTCTATTGCTATTACAAACATCTACATGAAATTGCCAGAGGAGGCCATCCATCCTATGATACCCAATTATGTAGAGGTAGTCCAGGAGATATAACATTTAATGTAACCATTTGAAGTTACAACAGCACTTGAAAAAGTGACTTATGACTATTTTCCGCAAACCATTACAGCATCGCCATTGCCCCATGATCAAAATTCAGACACTTGGCAATGACTCATATTTGTGACAGTTGCAGTGTTCTGGGGTCATATGATCCCCTTTGGTGACTGACCTGGTGCACAATCTTTGGTTCCTCCTGGACTCACGGCTCCTGCTTGAGAAGATCATGGGTGGGGGAGGGGCTTTGCATATTCATCTATTCCATCAATTGTGCCCTTTCCTGGACCAGGGAGGCCTTGCACATGGGTCACTCATGCCTTGGTCACCTCCTGTTTGAATCACTGCATTGGAACACTCAGAAACTTCAACTGGTCAAGAATGCAGCAATACTCACTTAAAGGCAGTTCCTAGATTACACATGCAACACCTTTATTGTGCAAGTTATACTGGATTATTCTCGACAAGTGCGACTGAAGATGTTCCTCATCAACTTTAAGGTTATTTCTTTTAATTCAATTTATTTTTTAAGGTTATTTATATATACCAATAGCACTTAGAATTATATACCACCCAAAGTGGTTTATAGCACTTTCGGTTAATTGTCCCCAGCAATCTGGGTCCTTATTTTGCTGATCTCAAGATGGACACTGAATCAACCTCAAGTCCTATCAGAATCAAATTCCACTCTGTGGAAAGAGTCAGCCAGCAATACTGCCTTCTAACCATTGAGCCAACTGGACACCTGTCATTATTGCCCCACCTTCATTATTTCTGCATCCATTTGTTCTACAGGCACTGGTGGTATTCAATTTTTTTTACTACCGGTTCTGTGGGTGTGGCTTGGTGGGCGTGGCAGAGAAAGGATATACTGTAAAATCCCCATTCCCTCCCCACCCCACCAACCGGCTTTCCAGCTCCATTCTCCTGTGCAGGGCAACCAAAGAAGACCCAGCCGATCAGCTGGGACTCGGGAGGCAGAGAATAGATGTGGGCGGGGCCAGTCAGAAGGGGGATTTGCCGGTTCTCTGAACCATTCAAAATGTCCGCTACTGGTTCTCCAGAACCTGTCAGAACTGGCTGAATACCACCTCTGTCTACAGGTCAGATAGGATGGGCAAGCTCCTAGCTCCTTCCCTTAAATATTGCTATTGGATAGGAGCTACAAAGTGAGTCCTTTTCTGTTGCAGACCCTGCCCTAGGAGACACTTTTCCCCTGAACTTTGGCAGGCCTTTAAATCTCCTAGTCTTCTGAAAAGCAAGAAATGCCTGCACACCAGAAGCTTCATTTGTTTATATTTATTAAATTTAGATGCTGCTCATCTCCAATTTAACTCCTTGCAAGGTGAACAATAACCAGGTTTGAGGAAGAATGGCAACAGACACGAACATAGTGAGTAAGGCCTGGTTAACTTCTAAATTGAACAAAAGCAACCATCACTTTTTGGGATTCCCAGAACATCAAATTCCTATCCACCTTGCTAGATGTCCCCCTGTACTTTCAGGGCAAGTACATTTTAAATGTGGAGGTTTTGCATTTTGCCATTTTCTATACATAGGGCTTATTGGTTTCTGTATTAAGGTTTTATTGCTGTAAACCATGTGGAGTCGTATGAGTTGGCCAGCAAAATACTGTACATTTTCTTACTATGTAAAAATACAGTCGTTACAGTTTTACGGTCTATCCAATCATACCATTTATCCCAAATCAAATAGTATTCAGTCATCTTTTCCTTTTAATTTTAGTGTAAGCCTTTCCATTTCGGCGCATTCATAAATTTTCTGAATAAAGTGTATAGGCGGTAAGTTGGGCATTTTCCAATATTGTGGCAGTGAGATTCGTGCTGCTGTTAATATATGAATAATCAAGTACCTTACTTTGAGGAAAAAGTCCCCTTTAATTATACCCAGGAGGTACATTTCAGGTTTCCACTCCAATCCGCCTTGGATAATTTCCTCTATCCATATTTTAATCCTAATCCAAAAAATTTTGACCTCTGGGCATATCCACCAGAGATGGAAGAAGATACCATGGTTTTCCTTACATTTCCAACAGATCAGGTTTGCTTTTTAACCAGTTTAGAGGGTGCCAGATGCCATCTATATATTATTTTATATAAATTTCCTTTATAGGATTCTGATTTTGTTAATGTAAGGTTTCTTTGCCAAGTTTCTTCCCAATCGTCTAAATCTATATTATGGCCGAAATTCTTTGCCCATGCTATCATTGGTCCTTTCATGATTTCCTCAGCTAATTCATATTCTAGTATGTAATTGTATAATTTAGGGTGGCATGCCTTTTTGTGGAACCCAAACAGTAAAAGTCACTCATATTTTTATAGACATACCCTGCATAAATATTTGATTAAAACATGGACAATTAGGAGAGACCATTACACTAAAATCCCAACATGGCTATCAACAATGGAGGCAATGTTTCATCCCAACACAATGGATATCAGTAAAAAGCTTAAATACCACCAAAGTTTAGACAATGAAGGAAAACTTACATCAATTCAAGAATTAGAAACTCAAGAAATATTTATTGATCATTGGTCCTATTTCCAAATAGCAATGAGATATGATAGGGACTTAAAAGAATTTGGATTAGAAACAAAAATACTCAATTCAATAAAATACTTTTGGGCCTAATCTAGTCTAATTCAATTCAATTCTAATTCTATTCTATTCAAAATGTATTGTTTTATTCTATTCATATTTCTTATTTCTATTCTATTTATGATTTACACTGAGACAAGTTTCACTAAAAAGAACCATGCAAGTAACTGTTTAATTGTTCAGCTGGTTATCAATGAGAGTCAAGAAACCAAATTCAAGATTCCTCCACATACATCAAATTTTGCCTCATATGAAATTTCTTGTGTATGATGAGGGAGAAACATTGCGTGAAACACTGTCTGCAATCTAGCCAATTGAATGGTTACCCCCCTATGTGTAAGATTACATGATTTATAAGGCTAGAGCTAGTACTGTAATCTTTCCCACAATACTGACATTCATAGTTTTTCTCCAGTGTGAGTCCTCCAGTGTTTCACCAAGTCAGAGTTCTGGCTGAACCTTTCCCCACAAATTGGACACAAATATGGTTTTTCTCCTTTGTGAGTTTTCTGATGTTTTACCAGGTCAGAATTGCAAATGAAACCTTTCCCACAATCTGAACATTCATATGGTTTCTCTTGTGTGTGAGTCCTCTGGTGTATCACCAGATCGGAATTCTGACTGAAACTTTTCCCACAGTCTGGACACTTATATGGTTTCTCTCCTGCATGAGTCCTCTGATGTCGTACAAGAAGAGCATTTTGAATGAAACTCTTCCCACACTGCAGACATGCATATGGTCTTTCACCTGTGTGAATCCTTTGGTGTATCACGAGATCAGAATTGCACTTGAAACCTTTTCCACAATCTGAACACTCATACAGTTTCTCTTCCATGTGTCTCTTCTGGTGTTTTACTAGCTCAGATTTCCGAGAGAAATCTTTCCTACAATCAGGACACTCGTATGGTTTCTCTCCTGTGTGAGTCCTTTGATGTTCCACCAGGAGAGAATTCCAACTGAAACCTTTCCCACAAAACAGACACTCATATGGTTTTTCTCCCATGTGAGACCTCTGGTGTTTCACTAGGCTAGACTTCCGAGAGAATTCTTTCCCACAATCAGAACACTTGTATGGTTTCTCTCCTGTGTGAGTCCTCTGATGCTCCATGAGAAAAGAATTACAACTGAAACCTTTCCCACAATCTTGACATTTATATGGTTTCTCTCCTGTGTGAATCCTCTGATGTCGCACAAGGTTGGAATTTTGAATGAAACTTTTCCCACACTCCAGACACTCATATAGTTTTTCACCTATGTTAATACTTTGATCTATCACTGGATCAGAATTGCAGTTGAAAATGTTTCCAAAATCTAAAGCCTGATACAGTTCCTCTTCTGTGTGAGTTTTCTGGTGTATCACTAGGTAGGAATTCTGACTGAAACTTTCCTCACAATACAGACACTCATATGGCTTCTCTCCTGTGTGAGTTCTCTGGTGTACCACCAAGTTGGAATTCTGACTGAAACTTTTCCCACAATACAAACACACATATGGTTTCTCTCCTGTGTGAGTTCTCTGGTGTCTCACCAGGTCAGAATTCCGAGTAAAGCTTTTCACACAATAAACACATTCAAAGCGTTTCTGCACAGTGTGAGTCCTCTTGTGCGTCACCAGACTGGTGTGCGTGCTAAATCTTTTGCCACACTGGGAACACTGGTGGAGCTGCTCCTCCTGCATCAGCCACTCCATGAATTACGAGAGTCCTACTCTGAGTAACGCTTTTGTCACACTCCAAACATTTGTATGGGTTTTGGAGGAGTGGGTCCTTTTGTGCATAATCAGCTGTGATGTGCAATCTGTGTTTTTTCAGCAACAGGCAGTCTGTGGGTTTTTTCCAACACTGATATTCTTGGGTTCATGAGGAGGCCTTAATTACTTCTGATCCCCTTTTCCCTGGGAAAAAAGCAAAAAAACCAACATCCATATATTACTATGAAAAAGCAAACATATCAAAATTAATCTTTAACATTCACTATGATTCATTAGGCACAGCAAATAGGTACAGCACAGGTATAGCAAAATCCAAGTTCAAATATCCACTCAAATTTCAAATCATGAAATTGTCTTGTTGGCGGGTAGATCACAAATTACTGTCATTGCAAAGTGTTATAAAAATACCTGAAAATACTTAGTTGTATACAGATACACGTATATGCACATATAAATGCACACCTATAAATTTATGGAGGTAGGAAACACAAAGGTCGAGGAAGATAAAAATATGAAATAAAGACTTTTAAAATCTCCCAGCAGAAAATCACAGGCAGCAATTTTTAATCGGCAGCAAAAGGATAATTATATTCGGGGAGATAAAGTTTATGCAGCAGCAGCAGCCAATATATTTCATTCTTGTCCCTTCGCTGCTTCATGCACCCAAAGGACCCGACTTGCTCCCGGGTTCTCCTCCGACCTGCCCTCCACTCACCTCCCAGGAGCCGCTTCGACCCTCCAAGCAGCACAAGAGGCTCCGCCGACGCCATCATCCTCCCCTGGGTCAGCCGGAAGAGGAAGTTCCTCTGCCCTTCGCTTCCTCTCCAGTACAGTCTCTCTAGCAATCTATCGTTTCAACCTGTTCCATCTCCGCCTCTACTCCTCCAATGCCACTACTTTATTGTGTTTACTGCTTTCTAGGCACGAGTGTAGCTCGTTGGCAGAGCGCCACCTAGTGACATAAGGCTGAAAAACACGCTCGTTCTATTTCCACTCGAAAGCGTTTGCAAAATGTTTTCATTGATTCCGTGCTTCCTTTATGTGCCATCAAGTCTTATTCGACTCCCACCGGCCACAGGAATCGCTTTCGTCCATGGTAATCTATCCCAAACCTTTTCGTTCAGGTCTCCCGCTCCCTCTTGCTGCAACTAAACCAAAGGAAAGAGTGAGTCCTAGTGGCGAAATTGAGGTACACACAGCCAACCAGAAAGTGCACCTCCCTTTTTGGGCTGTGTATGCAAGATATCGCCTCTAAATCTGTCTCTACAAATGAAACTGTTAGAGTGAAGATGACCCAACACAGGTTTAGAATTTAGAATTTTTACCTTTAATTTTGTCATTGCATTCCACGAATACAATGAAATTTGAAAGCTACTCCAGCACAGTGCCCCAAACACATCACAACCACACCACAAGTATTTAAAAATTAAAATAATAAAATAATAATAATAATTAAAAAACTAGTCTAAAACCTATCTAAAACATTTAGTAAGTTAAATAGTTTTAAAATGCCACTGTATACATAGGACTAGAACACAAATTAGCCAAGTGCTGCGCCCTAAAAGTTCTTTTTGTGTGGCCTTAAATGGTTCTCAGCTACATCCTATCAACAGAAGAATGGAACAAGGGAGCAATAGGGAAGCGCTCACTGGCATTGCCTCTGAGCTCCATCTAGAGAGGAGGTAGATGTGATCTTCCTGTCTATTATTGGGGAGTCTAAATCCTGCTAGAAGGCAGAATTGCTCAGAGTGGCCTTCACAATTCCCAGCCTTATTATCTTTCAGCCTTATTTATTCCCAAGCAGCTGGAGCAAACCAGTTTGCAGAAAGCTGGCCTAAAGATTCCTGCCCTGCCTACTGTGAGTAAAATCAAATAGTGCTTCAAGAAAATATTAGATTTTAAAGGTGCACATTTTTATGACACCATGTTATTGTAAGGTTTTTATTATCATTTCTTCCCCATGAAAGGTTAAGTTTGAAAATCAAAAAAGAATTAGAAATGTGGGGGGAAATTACAGCTATCACTACTGGGGAAAATTGCGGCAATTAAAATGTCTACCCTACCAAAAATGCTATATCTTTTTCAAACTGTACCAATAAGATTAGACAAAATCTTTTTTAGAGAATTAGATCGAATAATAAGTAAATTTGTTTGGGATGGGGAAAAAGCTAGGTTAAAAATGAAATTGTTACAGGACAAAAGAGAAAGGGGTGGCTTTGGACTCCCTGACTGGGAAATGTATTATCAGGCTGCGGCTATGGTATGGATTAAAGATTGGATCAACCTGGAAACTAGAAGAGTATTGTCGATAGAGGGTCACGACTTGCAGAGAGGGTGGCATAGTTTCCTATGGGATGGGAAATGTAAACAGCATGCATATTTTCAGAGACACATGATTAGAGATTCATTAATTTGGACATGGAACAAGATTAAAAAGAATCATTATACTAAACTACCGAACTGGTTGTCAACTATGGAAGCACAAATCTACCCAAATGCAATGGATCTGGGGAAAAAGAGGAATTACAAAGACCTATTAGACACACAAGGAAGATTAAAAATGAGATAAGAATTACAGCAACAAAATATAAAGATAGATTGGTGGCCACACATGCAAATTCAGGTGAGATATCAGAAGGACAAAGAACAATTTGGTTTCTGCATGGAAAAGCATCAATTAGATAAAATTCTACAAGAAATGGAAAAGAAAATGATCTCAAGAATATACAACTTTCTACTAGATTTTAAAATGGAAGAGGAAGTGGTCAAAGAGACGATGGTGGTATGGGAGAAAAATGTTGGCCACAATATAGACCTGGAAAATTGGGAGAGAATGTGGGGATCAAATTACAAACTAATTACATCCACAGCATACAAGGAAAATCAATACAAAATGTTCTACAGATGGCACCTTCCTCCCGCTAGACTGGCAAAAATGTTTAACTCGGACCCAAATTTTTGGAAATGTGGAAAAGAAAAAGGCACTTATTTTCATACCTGGTGGACATGCCAGGAAGTGAAAAAAATATTGGAATACAATTAGAAGAATAGAAGATAGAAGGATAGAAGAAATCACAAATCAGAAAATTGAATTTAATCCGGAAACTTTTTTATTAGGTATAATAACACAAAAATGCAATAAAATAGATAGATATATTATGTTACATATATTAACAGCTGCAAGGATTTCGTACGCACAACTCTGGAAGGAAAAAAGGGTTCCACCGGAAGGCATGGTTATAAAAAAATAATACACTGCTCAAAAAATTAAAGGGAACACTTAAACAACACAATGTAACTCTAATCTCAATCACACTTCTGTGACATCAAACTGTCCACTTAGATAGCAACACTGATTGACAATCAATTTCACATGCTGTTGTGCAAATGGAATAGACAACAGGTGGAAAGCAGAGGCAGTTAGCAAGACATCCCCAATAAAGGAGTGGTTCTGCAGGTGGTGACCACAGACCACTTCTCAGTTCCTATGCTTTCTGGTTGATGGTTTGGTCACTTTTGAATGCTGGTGGTGCTTTCACTCTAGTGGTAGCATGAGACGGAGTTTACAACCCACACAAGTGACTCAGGTAGTGCAGCTCATCCAGGATGGCACATCAATGCGAGCTGTGGCAAGAAGGTTTGCTGTGTCTGTCAGCGTAGACAGGCCAGTACATCAGGAGACGTGGAGGAGGCCGTAGGAGGGCAACAACCCAGCATCAGGACTGCTACCTCCACCTTTCTGCAAGGAGGGACAAGAGGAACACTGCCAGAGCCCTGCAAAATGACCTCCATAGGGCCACAAATGTGCATGTGGCTGTTCAAATGGTCAGAAACAGACTCCATGAGGGTGGTATGAGGGCTCGACGTCCATAGGTGGGGGTTGTGCTTACAACCCAACACCGTACAAGACATTTGGCATTTGCCAGAGAACACCAAGATTGGCAAATTCGCCACTGGCGCCCTGTGCTCTTCACAGATGAAAGCAGGTTCACACTGAGCACATGTGACAGACGTGACAGGGTCTGGAGATGCTGTGGAGAATGTTCTGCTGCCTGCAGCATCCTCCAGCATGACCGGTTTGGCAGTGGTTCAGTAATGGTGTGGGGAGGCATTTCTTTAGGGGGCCACACAGCCCTCCATGTGCTCGCCAGAGGTAGCCTGACTGCCATTAGGTACCGAGAGGAGATCCTCAGACCTCTTGTGAGACCATATGCTGGTGCGGTTGGCCCTGGGTTCCTCCTAATGCAAGACAATGCTAGACCTCATGTGGCTGGAGTGTGTGTCAGCAGTTCCTGCAAGACGAAGGCATTGATGCTATGGACTGGCCCGCCCGTCTGGGATATCATGTCTCGCTCCATCCACCAACACCACGTTGCACCACAGACTGTCCAGGAGTTGGGAGATGCTTTAGTCCAGGTGTGGGAGGAGATCCCTCAGGAGACCATCCACCACCTTATCAGGAGCATGCCCAGGCATTGTAGGGAGGTCATACAGGCCACACACACTACTGAGCCTCATTTTGACTTGTTTTAAGGACATTACATCAAAGTTGGATCAGCCTGTAGTTTTTTTTCCACTTTAATTTTGAGTGTAACTCCAAATCCAGACCTCCATGGGTTGCTAAATTTGATTTCCATTGATAATTTTTGTGTGATTTTGTTGTCAGCACATTCAACTATGTAATGAACAAAGTATTTAATAAGAATATTTCATTCCTTCAGATCTAGGATGTCTTATTTTTGTGTTCCCTTTATTTTTTTTGAGCAGTGTATTTGTTAGTCTAGTGGTGTGGGATTTTATTGGCCTAAAGCGCCATCCAGACGGCAGCAGGTCAAAAAGATAATTGCCAGGGTGTGAGAGGTCTTCTATGATGGCCTTGATACTGCTTTGGCAGCGGGGCCTGGCAAAGTCTTCCATGGAGGGCAGAGGGCAACCAATGATCTTTTGAGCTGTGTTTATCATCCTCTGTACAGTTTTCCTGTTCTCAGCTGAGGAGCCTGCATACCACACAGTATGTCAGAGTGCTCTCCACAGAGGCTTTATAGAAAGCCAGCAACAGCTTCTTATCCAGATTGTTTTTCCTGAGAACCCTCAGGAAGTGCAGCCGCTGCTGAGCCTTCTTCACTATGGCCTTGGTGTTAGGGGACCAGGAGATATCAGCTGAAATATGGATGCCAAGGAATCTGATCATAGGGACAATTTCCACTCGTTCTCCGTTGATGATGAGTGGGGCGTGGTCCTGTCCATGTTTCCTGAAGTCCATAATCAGTTCTTTGGTTTTATGGACATTCAGTGACAGATTGTTCTGTGAACACTAGACAGACAGGTTTTTTACTTCTGCCCTATATGCTGTCTCATCCTCTCCAGAGATGAGACCAATCACAGTTGTGTTGTCCGCAAACTTTATGATGGTGTTTGTTGCGTGGCTTGGTGAGCAGTCAAAGGTGTACAAGGCATATAGCAGGGGGCTCAAGACACAACCCTGGGGGGAACCAGTACTGAGTGTAATAGTGGAAGAAAGTTGGGGGCCAAGTCTAACAGACTGTGGTCTGTTTGTCAAAAAGTTCTTAATCCAGGAGCACATGGGGGTGGGGACCTGCAGATTATACAGTTTGGTTACTAGTATATCTGGGATGATAGTGTTAAATGCAGAGCTGTAGTCCACAAAGAGCATCCTCACATAGCTCTGTTTGTTCTACAGATGACTCAGCGCTCTATGAAGTGTGATGGCCACAGCATCCTCTGTAGATCGGTTTGCTCTATAAGCAAACTGATGTTGATCGAAGGAGGGCGGGAGGCAGTCTCT